TGCACCCACTGTTGTCTCTCATCACCATAAACTCGTAGGTAACCATGTGAAATGGGGGCAGCAAAGATTTTAAGATTTAACACTTTGAGAGCCCATACTGTATTTGACACCTGGACAATGCCTTGGCAGGAAATACAGTAATTTATAGTCAAGCCCCTTGCACTGCAGAAGGCTGACTCCCTTGATTGCCTGGAGCCTTATGGAAAATGGCAAAAAAAAAAACCCCTTTGTATCTAGGGATGGCTCTGGCTTTCATGTGAAGTTCGTGTTTTGTAAGACCAAAGCTCTCCAGCCTGATCAATGAATTTGTATGGCATTTTCGTGCTCACAAGAGACCTTCTATGGAAAACCAATCTATGCAACACTATTAGCTTCTCACTGTGTGTAACTGGGTTAACTGCACCACCAAATTAGTGGCTTGTCTTAATTTTCCTCTGTCTTCACTCAGAGTTAGGATTAAAAACAGGAAGGAGATGAATTTCTCGAGTTTGGACTTAGTTGTTTATTAAATCTTATCTAAAGTACAGAGAGTTCTGCAACACTTCTAGCTACCAGCTAAAAGCAAGCAAAATGGAGGTGAATTTTAGCTAGTTAAGGTCTTTTAAAGCTTAACAGTCCAATAAAGAAAGAACATCTATATTATTTATACTTTTGACCCAATAACCAAACTCCTGTGACCTGCAGTGCAGCACTAACTGTCCAACCAGAAACTACTACCTGAAGGCATGAAGAAAAAGGAAGAAGACAGAAAGAGACAACACCCTAGAATCTCCATCTTGTCCCATACCTATTACTGTATTCTAAAACCCTCGAATTCAAAACCCTTCACCATCTGAAATCACACACTTCTATTCAACTACACACCCGTGACCTTAACTCCATCACTCCAATTTGGAAGCCTTCTCCAAGGCCTCAAGTCAAAAGCAGTGTTCCCCTGGGGGTCAGTGTCAGAAAGCACAGAAAGTTCAAAACTCCCAGGCTTCTGGGTTCCAACATCTGTGGTCACAGGTTTTCTTGGCATGTTCTGTGGAGGCTGATTTCTGTTCATGCTGCAGAGCACGGACCTCTGCTTGCTCTGTATTGTTCTGTTCTTTGTGACCAAATCAATACTCTACCTCTAGCAAATGGAAAATGGAAAATTACTAACCCTTTTTTTTTTTTTTGGGTGAGATCTCTACCTCTTGCTTACTCTTTCCTTTTGCCTCTTTCATCTCACTGCATATAACTGAAACAGTTAATAAAAAATTGGTAACACAAAAATATTTTTCTCTCTTATCTCACTAGGGAGCTGAGGCTTTTCAGGCAGCTTAATAAATAGTACTATGAACCTAGGGCTGTTTTTGCAATAGGTGACTTTAATTAGTGTTTAATGTAGGCTGGAAAGAGAAAAGGGGATTTCAGAATCAATGCTAGGAAGCAAGTAACATCATTGCCAGGTCAAGAGAGTTTCTTCTCTCAAAAGCAACCATGAAATTTGCCCTTCACAGTTCTGGATTTGTTGTTTCTGGCTTTCTGTGGTTAGACTTTTCCAGTTTACAGGAAGAATATGTCCATCAATCCATCCTTCCTTTCTCAGTACCACTCCTTTAAATGTTGCCTGGGCTGCTAGCATCCAGCTGTGTGCTTTCAGGCTCTGCCAACCAGGAGTGTGTACTGCAGAAGCATTGTGCCTTCATTTAATAGTATGCCCCTGGCTTTTATTTAAAGTGAGCTCAGGCCTGTGTTCACAGCCTATTTCTCTGGTGGAGGTTCTGTGGGTGAGCAGAGACTCTGGGACAGACAGCCCCACCAGGAAGCTGCAGGGGAGTTAAGGAGAGCAGCTGTAGCACTCCTGGTGGGCAAAGAGGAATTGAATTTGGATTATTGCATGTTGTTATCAGTAGTGAGAAGAGTGGATTATGAACATGAACAAAGCTTTGACACCATGAACTTCTTTAACAGTTGCTTTAAAAGCTGTATTTTGGAGAAAGAGAGAGAGAAGAGCAACCAAACACAGTGAAGACCTGAGGAGAAATGAAATGCAAGAAGGAATCAGAGAATAGAGTAGGAAGGGGTGCAGAGAGATCAGCCCATCCTTTGCAGAGGAAGAATTGCCTTAAAAGCTCATATTAATAATTAATGCTGCCTTTACATACATCACAGATGTCAAAAACCTTCATGGTCAGCTGGTTTAGCATTTCAGTGCTCATGGACCACATTGCCTCAGGTTACAGAGTTGTTGGCTTCCTTTGTCTACACAGGTAGCAATGGCAAAACTATAGAAAATATGTAATCCAAAATTCTCTGTACAACAAAAAGTTGTTCAATTTTTTTCTTGCTCCTCTCCCAGCAAGCACTGGCAGAGAGCAGAGGGAAGATATGTGGGAGACAAAACTTTCAAATATTTCATTTCCGTGGTTCTGAGTGAACAGGTGGAAAGGACAAGAGGAGATGCTGAGAGAGCACAGAAGGGGTAAAGTCATACTGGGGTGTGCATGGAGATGCCTGCAGAGCAGCACTGGATGGGGAACATGCCAGACTAGACATGTAATGAAGGGGCTGAATTATTTTTTTTTCTCTAGGAGTACTTTAATTTTCCTTTCTATGTGTCAATGACTCTGGGATACAGCTGCTTACAGTCAAAATGGCCACCACCAAAAGTCATAATATGTTGAGAAAACAGGTGTATTTAATCCCCTTCTCAGTAGTTACTCATTAAGAGAAGGCAAAATTACCCAAACCAGCAGGTATTGCAAGGGAGGAAAAAAATTGTTAAACATGCAGGTGATAAACATCTGAGTTACTGATTAACTCCTGGCTTTTGTAACCCCCAGAGTTCTTCAGTTGGTTTACTGGGACACAAAAACATAGAGCTGTGCCACTTCAATAACATATAATGCACTTTATCTCTCCTTGGCACAGGTGTCCCTGGGCTGTGATAGTGAGGACAGCACTGCCCTCTCTTGATGGGAAGAGTTCAGATCCCTTTCAACATCTGCAGTGCCTTTCAATGTGAGTCACAACACCCAGAGAAATCCATGTAGGACAGGGTGGATTGAAGTATAACCTCTTCTTTGGGGTGTCATCTGCCAGAAGTTGGGAGAGAAGAAAAGAAATAATTGACTTGCTGTGCACATCCTCAGGCATCTGCTTCAGGATGTCCATTGCCAAGGGCATGCTGGGGCAGCTGAGCCTTTGGTCTGTCCCTCTGAGGCCGGCTTATGCTCTCAGGGAAAAGTGTGGGCTGGAAGGGAAAGTGGAAACTTAGACATTTCAGGAGCAATCACTGTGAAAGCAATGCAACATGCTTGGCAGGATGGAAAGCAGGCTGATGCTCATATGTGAGGAAAAAAAGGGTGATTTCAGATGCCTTCATCCACCTGCAGCATCTTGTTTTCCCTCCTGCACCCAACCAGCTGCGTTCAGTCTGCAGTGTTGCCTCAAGCAATATCTCTCCCTCGCTGTCAGTTTTGATGTTGACACTTGTTCTTGCAGCCTGTCACTCGGGTTTGGCTGAGCACGTGCTGTTTGCCATCTGGAGGTAAGCCTGAGAATGAGGTGGCAGCACTCACTGCCATCAGGGGCTCAGCTGAGCCTCCTCAGCTGCTGGCTCTTCCTTATGCTGCCTGACTAGAGCATCCTGAGGTGTTGCAGGGATGAGGGAAGCTCCTGAAGATGTGAGTCCCTGAAGAGGAGCAGCTTTGCCATGTGGTGCAGAGCAAGTCCTTCCAAGTTTAATAACTACATTTTTAACTAACACAGCTTGTGCTTAAGCAAAGTTGCTCTGGAGGGGAACTGATCCTGCACCACGCCAATCTCTGCTTCATTCTGAGGTGGTAAATGTGAAGAAATAAACGGAAGCACTCAGCACCATCAGTAGAGATGGACACAGGTTTGCTGAATGGGCAGGATGTCAGGGGCCCATCAGGCTGAAAATGGATGCTAGACCACGGTGAGCTGAGCCAAGAAGGGTCTAGTTGTGTCTCTGGGGATAGAGGATACCCTGTGAATGGAGCCTGAAAAGATCCAAGTCTGGTTTGTGTTCTCTCTTACTTCTGCTCAATGTCTTTTAAAACTCCTCATCTATAAGCCAAAAACAATAGCCATTATAAAAATCCAAACTCTTGTTTCTCACCATTAGCTGTCACAGAAGGCAAAAATGCCCATTTTCTGGACCAGCTCATTCTGCTGCTTGACCTGCTTCTGCAGTGCTCAGCTCTAACATTTTTCACTTAATATTTCACAGTAAGTTTCTATTTTCCAGGTCCCAAACAAACAGCAGGGTGCACACTGAACAATAGCAAAGGGTTTGGCAGCATGCAGGTTTCTCGTCTGTGCCAGAAAAGCTTTCTGATGGCCCTGAGTTCCTCTTTACCCCCCTCTGCCAGGGCCTGACATCAGGGAAAGAGAAAATACAATTGAATGCCATCAAGAATAATGTCCTGTTTATTTTCCTGCTAACAGAATTATTTTCAGAACATCTCAGAAATCAGAAATGAGAGCGATGGGAGGGGTGGGAAATATCAGAACAAGCCCACTTTGGGATTTCATTAGCCGTCATCAGAGAAGGGACTAGAATCAGGACTAAAATGCAGATCAGGGACAAGTAAATGAAGCTGTAAGTATGTCACATGTCCTTGTTTACCCTTAGAGTAAAAGATCATAAAGAACTGGAGTGGTTTCTCTGTCAGAAGCAGGATGATGTAATCTGTTAATTGTGTTTATTGGTTATTGCTGGTTCCTATAGCTGTGTGGGACAGTCACTCCAGAGCAGCTCATACATCAGGATGGATTTACCATGGGAGAAAATAGAAGGAGATATGGGCTCCTCCCCATGAGTAGTGGCTGCTTCTGTTTGCTCTTGTGCCCAGTGATGTTGTTGTGCATCTGCACAGCCTCTTCCCTGTGACATAAAACGGAAGAGCCATTCTGGCATCTCCTAGCTGCTGGAAGGGACAGGTCTCATTCCCTTTTTTACCTCTTTCCTCTCTACAGTTGTGCCCTACAGTGCAGTCCTGTTCTTGCACAAGTTGTAGCTTGGATGGGAAGGGGAAAAAGTAAGCATCGTGGAGCTGGAGCTCTACCAACTTCTGTAAAACAATTTTTTTTGTTGTTCAGTTAGACTACTGTTAAATCCTGCTTTGTTAGCTCTAAACAGTGGAGATCCTAGTCCGTTCTTGTTCTGTGAAACTGTTCTGGCTTAAATTCTGCTTAAAATTATTCCTTAAAAGGGAGGATCGTAGGATGCTGAGCTCTCTTATCCAGCACAGAGCAGCAGGACACACGGGCTATGCAGATCATCTCAAGGTTAGTGGAATGTGCTGTATGTCTTCTTGCACGAGTGGTGTCCCCTTGTCCAAACGTTATGTACCCATCAGAGATGTTCAGTTTCTGCATTCCAAGATTTTGAACAACCCTCAAGAGTTCAAGTGGTCTCTTTGTCCTCAGGCCAGGAGAAATGATGTGGATGCACATGTGATCAGGTGTGGGTTGAGAAAAATAGGGTGGCTTCCATCCAGGTCTGCCAAGTGAGAATCAGAGACCAAGTGTGCTGCTCCTGATGAAGCAGTTTCTGGACCACCTCTGCCCACTCCTGCATGGGAGATGTTCCTCCTCTGGAAACCCCCACAGCTTACACTGTTTCCACTGCTTTAATTGTTATTCCCATCCCTGCAATTACAACTGCTGTGACATGGATCAATAACAAACTGATGCTCCAGAGCCTTTCCTGAGGCTACTGCATGGAGCAGGGGATGAGGAATGGAGCAGGAATTTCCAGCTTTCAGTTCACTACCTCCTGTCTCACCAAGGTCAGTAATAACCCAAAATCAGGCAAAACAGAGGGCTGATTCAGGAGGACCCCCTCATGGATTTACTGCCTGTTCCTCTCTGAGCTGATTGCACTGGTGATGATGGGGAAGGAAATATAAAAGAAGGGATGATGGACCTGTCACCTCCTGACAGCAGGTTTGTATCAGCCATGGACTTAACTGGGGTTGGGTAGAATAAAGGCACTTGACCTCTCTCTCTCCATTCCCTAGGCCAGTTCAGGGATGTCTTTCCATAGACAACTGTGCTATGAAATGAACTTAAAATTTTCCAAGAGAAGTAGTTCTTTCCGTAGGAAAGAGTGAATGAAACATGAAATGACATTTCTGTCCTTTACACAGTATCAGACCCCACAACTCAATTGACTTTTTAACCAGGACAAGTAACTTTATTGTTACTCTGTGTGCTATGAGCTCCCTTCCCTTGCCCATTCCCATTTTGGTAAGGACTGCATTTGTGCCATCATTTTCTTTGTCCAAATCTTTTTCAGCATAAATCACTTTCCATTGTTCCAGTCCAGCTGCTGAGGGGAAAAGAAAACATGTATGGGCTTTGATTGCCATCTCTCTTGCTAGTAAAGGAGAAATGCCAAACCCAGTCTCTGAGTCAAAGCTAACAGTGGGTTGCCAACACCTGCTTGGCAGTGGGGAGGAACAGTGATGGAGATGGCAAAGAACATGGGGGTGGCTCCACTTGTCCCTGGCAGAGTGGCATTTCCTCCTGTTTAGGAGGGCATTGGACCTGGCCTTGAGCTAACTCAGACTGGGTCCATAGATAAATAAAACACACACTGAAACCCTGTCCCACAGCTGTCCTTTCTGCTTGGTTGTTTGCACACTTGCTGGCCAGGTTTTGGGGGCCACGAGGCAACACTGGAACACAGCTCTAAATGCAGCTGGCTGTGTGGATGGGAGCTGTGCTAGAGGTTTGTGGCTTTTAACACAGACATCACCTGCAGTCCTCATCCAAACCCACTGAAGACAATGGAAAGGTCTCCTGGTCATGTCCTCTGTGTCGTGTCCTCAACTGAATTCAGGCCAATACAGGATCAGACCAACCTCAGTGCCTAAGCAGCTTTAGGCTGATGTCAGGGGAGGGGTTGGTGTGAATTCTCAGCAGCAGGGTTGGTGTTGAGGGGTGAGAGCTTCCTCAAAGCCAGGATGGATGTTGGTCATCAGGTCCAGGAGTTTATAACTGTGAGCATGACAGCTCCAGTCAGGGTAAATTTTAGAATAGTGGCCTGGATAATGGTTAATGACTGACCTACAGAATAAATTATTGCGAGTGAAATCTGTTAACCTCATGCTTAAAGCAGCCATGCTGTACTCTCCCTCCACAGATGAAGGTTCTTTTAAAACAGAACAAGACTTCAAAAGTTATTAATTTTTTCCAAGGAACATCTTCACTTTGTTCTGGAACTTATTCCTATGTTATAAACACAGGTGCTTTTTACTCTTTTCTTTGACCTTCAAAATTATTCCACAACTCCTAAAAATTTGGAGGCAGGATAAAAAAGATTTGGAAAACATGTTAAAAAAACCTAAAACTTAGGTTCCAAGGATAGCTAGATTTTTGTTGTGTAAATATATGCATATTTCTATGCAAACCACTTTATGAAAACAAGAAAAAGTTTAAGATAATTTTGAAAATTATATAGGCATTAATTCAATTTCTTGATTATTCTTGGTAGCACAGTAGATATATTAAATATTTACATAGCCTGTGTATCTTGGGGATAGGAATAATTTTTGTTCTGAGTTTGTACATCTGGTACTGAGGACAGACACCATTATGAAGGCACTGAACACTTTTGCTGAAGCAACAAGGACTCACTGTGTCACTGTCATTTTAGTGACAACCTCTGGCCCTGCTGCATGCCATTAAGTGATAGGATTTTTAGGAAGCTGTTGAGGTACAGGAAAACATTTGACTGACAGGCAAGTTTTGCCAGGCTTGTTTTTTACATGGCTTCTGAGCAGGTCAAAACTGTCTGGTCAAGGCCCAGATCTTCCTGTGCTAAGCTCCAGGCAGAGGTTTGACAAAAGACAAGCTGAAAGAGTTGAATGGGATGGACATCAAGTATGGCATATCTATAAATGCCATGTGGCATTTTCATAAATCCAGATCCAGAAAGTTAAATTCAAGAAAAGGGTACAGGTGATTACAAAAATGGAATTTTTTTTAATCCTTTTTTTATTTCTTCTGGGACTAATGGAAAATCATGCTGTCTGGTGTAAAATTGATGTAGCTTTGACCTCTGGGAAGAGATGATCTACATCCATGAGAACATGGCCAAGTATTACTGTGCTGTATGACTGCACAGGAGAGGAGGGTCTGAAGGGCACTGTTATCAAAGGAAGTGAATATTTGAAAGACAAAGAACTAAAGCTGCTCTGTATCATTCATGAGGCCAACATTTGTTGCTGTAAGCACAGTAATCTCTCTGTCCTTCCTGCAAAATAGAGCCTCTCCCAAAAAAACCTGGATGACAGAGACTCTTCACTGATGAGTTTAAAGGAATTTTTCTGTCTTTTGTTCCAAACCCTGCAATGTCAGCTGGTTCACCAGAGCCATTCCCCTCCTGGAGTAGCCCATTGCCATAACCCCATAACCCCAGCCTTGCAAATCAACAGAAAAACATGTTCACCAGAGCTTCCTAGAAACCTCAGCTGAAAAGACTTTCTGAACGTGTCTGACTCAAGAGAGAATCCATAATACTGTGTGAGACCAGCCATGGCTTTATCTAGCCATGTCCTGATGTCCTCCAGGGACAGAGGTCCCATTTCTTCTCCTGGCTGACCTTTGTCCTTCTCACCGTCCTGGTGAGAAAGCAATCTTGCCTAATGTCCAGCCTGAACCTCCCAAGCTGCAACGTGTGGCCATTGTTGCTTCTACTGCCACTTGATACTACAGAAATGAACATGCCTCAGCCATCTTCACCTCCCCTTAACAGAAGGGCAAGGACATCAAAGCCAGACAGTATTTCTTGGCTTTTTTATACATGGCTTCCTCATGGTAGAAAAGAAGGCTCAGGGGCATTCAGGCTTGGGACTAACTAGGACCTGATATCATCAATGTTATTTAGTCCATAGTGTGTTCCCTGGCACTGTTTTAAATCATGGCTATTTATCCCCAAAAAGACTGTGCCCAGGCTTAGCCTGGGACACAGCATCAGCCAAGAACTGTTCCCAAAGACAGTAGAGATGAAGCCATCCAGTATTTTTAAGACACTGAGGTTTAGCTGTACAGCCATACTGCATGCCCTCAGCCACAAGAATGGGATGTGACCTATCTTATATCTCACTTTAATGTTTATATATCCACTTATATAAACATGTCACAGAATACACCTCTTAAGTGCCAGCTGCCAGTTCACCCTTTGCAATGTCCAGCACTCCCTTCCTGCCACCTCTGGGCACACAGTGTAAACATTCAGCTTCGTGTCATAGGAATCACACTCTGATGGTGCTGCTGCAGTGCTGTTATATTATTTCATATACTTTTACTTAAAATATATATGAGTTTAAAGAGTAACATTATTTTAGGTAACAGGGACAGTACTTGTGGTTACAAGAGATGCAGGGTTAGGTGCTAATCAGAACAGATATGGTCAGTCAGCTGAAGGGGACTCATCCTCAGCACTGTGGGTGAGACCAGCTCCAGAAAATGATGTCTGAGCAGTGTTGATGTAGCCACAGGAATGAATAGTTGGCTATTCCTGGAAGGATGTCTGGAGCTGGCAGATGAGCTTTGCTGTGCTTTCCATTACCATGAAGAAAGTACTGGGCAAACACAGCTCACACACTGCTGGCAGACAGCAGCCAGATGGAGCTTCTGTTTTCATTGAACCTAGATAATTAATTTGCAGCATTGATTGTTCTTTACAATATATCTATGCCTCATTTAACATTTGGGTAGTACAGCTGAGAACAAATAAATCCAGAACTACACAAACTGATAGCATTGGTAGCATAACATCAAAGTCCTTTTTAGAAATAACTGAGTTGCCTTTATGGTTCACAAAGGACATTTTGATCTGCTATAACTAAAGCCTTTTACATCCCCAAATAAAAATTTGTACCACTACAACATAGCCAGGAGTCCCAAATATTTGTTCCTTATCAGGAAATTAGGTTACAAGGGAAGAATTTTTTTATTTATTTTTTTTTTCAATGATGAGCATTTCTAAAGGGTCGGTTAAAAAAAAAAATCCACAACATATCTGGGAGTGCTGTCCCCTTTCAAACAGAAAGGAAAACTGCACAAAAAGCAGCAGTGATGGAAACCCTTAGGGTGTGAAGCCTTGCAGAATTTCTTCCATCTTGTTCTCCCTCATGGCCTGCGGGCTCTTGCATTTAGTTATTACCCAGAGGCCAAAATACATAGATTCAGCAAATAAATCCCAAGCCTTAGAGCTGTGAAGACAGAAGTGTCAGGAGGGAACATGCTCTGAGCCTGTGATGTGACACACTGCTGTGAGAGTGCTCCAGAAGCCACGGGATAACTCATGGGAACGGGAAAACAGCACGCTCTAGTGGGGAAATTATCGAAGTCTATTAGAAAAATCTATTAGAAAACAAATCCCTGCACTGAATACTGCATGTGAGAGCAGCTGTTGCTTCCTGTCCCTACCCAGTGTTTCTCCTCCCATCACTGAGCATCTCCTGTCATTGTTGCCCCTGATTCCCCTTAGCCCGGGCAGGGGGACAGTCCTTCCAAGGCTGTCCCACCTACTGACACACAGCTCGGGCTGATTTAAGGAGCCAAAATTGGGTTTTGCCCTCAGCCTGGCTGAGTGCACTTGGCACAGGGCAGGTTTGCCTGTGCCAGCGTGGCAGGGACGGTGAGAGGGGCTTGGGAGGACAGCCGGGTCAGACCTTGATGGCACAGTGCCCATTAGCACGGTAATTAGGGAGCTCCTTCCCTCTTCCTTTCACTGTCACACAGTGGAAAACTCTGTCTCCATTAAGAAGGAGAACTCATTACTGGCAAAACAGACGCTAATCAGATATTAGTTATAACCATTAATGAAAAACCTAATGAGGTGCTGAGATCCCCAGCGCTGACTAAAATGAGTTAATCACATCTCACTGCTCAAAGGCCCATTAATCTGTGTGCATGCTGATGTTTCCCATTCCTTTGCTTATTACAGGAAATAAAAAACATCATTCTGGCTTCATTTGTGTGCATCTGCTGGATCTCTCTGCTAAGCTGTAAAGCCACGTTGCAAAACCTGACAAGCAGTGACATTCCCTTGGCCCGTAGGAAGCCACCACAGAGAGGTGAAATGGCACCCACCTTCAAAGAAGGAAGCAAACACCATGCCCACAGCCACATAAGAGTGATTTTTCATTGCCTCTGGCTGTTGGTTATGCCAATAAAAAAAATACTATATAAATAATATATATTATTTAATAATTTTGTAAAATTATATATATTTTAATATTTAAATATATATAAAATATATTATAAATATTAAATTGTATTAAATTATAAAATTATAAAAATGTTATTCCAGCTCCTACGATTAACAAGAAGCAAAGAGCCACCAATGCCCCAAGTGCATTCCTCCTGAAACAGCTTGTAGTTTTTTCAGCTAGTTTCCTGTCTTTACTGCTAGTGGTGAGTATTAATCTCACCTCATTCTGGTGGGATATCTCTGGGATGGATGAGTAATTAGAAGCATCCAGCAACTGAGGTAGTTAGGTGTAAATTTGACCTAGATTTATTTCAGGTGTTGTTGGCAATACGTGTTTGCACACTTACAGAGATTCCCTGGAATCCACAGGATTCCTCAAGTGTCTAATTTATTTTAATCTGCCTGGAATGGAGTCAGTTTTATTCATAGCACACATATAGTACTGTGCTTTGGATTGGTGGCTGTGGGAAGTGAGTGAGTGGCTGTGTGGATGCTTGGCCACTGACTGGTGTCAAATCACAACATATATGCCCAAAAGCATCAGCAGCCTAAATCACTTCTGGCCCACCTACTTTGAAATGAACCAAACAAATGGGCAAAACTCTACTTTTCTTCAAAAGGTTCTCCAAAAGATCTATTTGCTTTATTTTTATGTATCCTGTCTTCACCTTTAAATCTGTTTTATTTCTATTTCCTTACTTACCTATTCAAATCAAATTATAGAGCCTGTCAGCTTGCAGAATTTCTCCCTGCAGCCAACTCTTTGGGTCCCCAGTGAAGAACCATTGGTCATCAGTTTCTCCCATGTCTCTTTCCTGTGACTCTATCACAGCAGGCAGGAGCTCTGTGCCTCATCAGCATCTTGGGGAACTTGCTCACACTTACCCACCCTCTGATACCTGAATTCTTCAACATTTAAAGGAGAAAGAGGAGTTGAAATAGTAGTGGACAAGGGGGAATAGTTTTAACAGACTGGAGATTTAGATTAGATGTTATTAAGAAATTATTTATGGTGATGCACAGGTTGCCCAGAGAAGCTCTGGCTGCCCCATCCCTGGAAGTGCTCAAGGATGTTCCCATCCTTGGAAGTGTCCAAGGTTGGATGGATCCCTGGTCTAGTGGAAGGTGTCCTTGCCCATGGCAGCAGGGTTGGAACTGGATGATCTTGAAGGTCCCTTCCAACCCAACTATTCTATCCAACCATCTGTTTTTGAATACAGACATGAAAAATTCCACTGCTTCTCTTTCTCCCCCACTCTGCTCTCGGATCTAGTTTTAAAGGCACAAAACTTATTTCTGGGATAAACAGACAAATGGGGATACAATTCAGCATCATAAAGTTACCCCAGAACACAACGATCCTATGACTGATTCTATGATTGGTGCTATGAAATCACTCTATTTTCCACCATATGAGACCCACGCTGGTATCTGCACAGGCTGAACATGGGATGTGGCCACAGACTGGACACACTTCAAAGCACAGCTCAGGTATGGCCAGTCCATTCACCACCCCAGCCCCAGGCTGTGGGTTTGGGATGGGGCTGGGGGAGAAATGTGCAGCTTCCCTGGATGGTGGCAGTTCTTTGGGGCAAGCCTCAGTAAAGCAAGGAGAGGAACACAAAAATGCACGTGGGGAGAAATGGCCATAAGGGGCTCCTTGATGTCACACTTGATTTGGGGCATCCTTGAGGGAACTCATGCAGGATGCAGTGTTTGTGGCACAGGTTAGGATGCTTTCCTTACTGATCTGGTGTTTGGATAGACAGGGAGGCCAGCTGGTAGCTGCTGTGTAGCTCTGGAGTCTCTGATTATGTGGAAACAGTACTATTGTGGAAAATGCCCTGGTCTTAGTAGGAGTGTTAGTGCCATGGGGACAAACTCCCACATGGATATATTTATATTCTGCCAGCCAAAGGTTACCTTAGAAACTGCAAACTAAGGGGTAGACCAACATGGTAAATTTCCCACAGGAGAAAATTTAACTGAAAACACAGAGATTTACCTGCATACAAATACCTGACCGTGAAGAACTTTTCATTGTGAGAACTCTATTTTATTTCATATTGCCTGAAGACAAATGTAATTAGATCAACTCCCTCATATTCTATAGAAAAGACATGGGAAAACAGATTTTTAAGGGTGGCAAGGGACTCCTTTGCCTTTTCATTCATTGGGTTTAATTGCTATTCTGACTGCGAGCCATCAAAGGAACCCATGCCATGGACTGAAGCCATACAGTTCCCCTGTGGGTACTTTTGTTCTTCATTTGATGCTATAAGCAGAGTCCTCTGTCCAAGTCCTGTGGTCAGTCCATCTGCCTGCATGCTGCCGTTGTTGTTGCTGCATGTCTTACTAGTCTCAAATGGTTTCCAGACTGTAATTTTATGCAAATTACTTTGCTGACAAAATAATTTCAGACCTGGAAGCCACACTGCATTGCACCTCTTGTGAGTGGATATGAAGCAAAATATAAAATGATTTCCAAGGAAGCTGTTCCTTGGTGTTATTTTATTTTGCTGGGGATAACAGAGGAGCAAATGCTTTGCATTTCCTCTGCACCTGAAGCGACTGGAATATCTCCTCAGACCTGTGTGTCTCTACTTCTCACTCATTTTCAACAAGTGTGATTCTGGCTGGGCTGTATCCATTAATGGTGGTCAACATCTCACTGATGCAGCATGTCTAGAGCCTGGGTTGAAAAGCAAAGTGTCAAGAAGTTTCTGAGAACCTGACCCTCTGAAGGTCACACTAGACAGCAACTCTTACTGTGCCCGATTTACCACTGCCTGTGTCTGAACAGGAGCTTCCTGAGCTGGCTCTGATGACTCCCTGAGCTCCTACCACCAGGATGGTTGCACTTCAAAGGGCAGCTTGCATCACTGCCAGACCATCTACCCTACTCTGTCCCTTAAACAATGAAAGGGAAAGGACAGATAAGGATAGTGAGCAGTTGATGAGGTGCACGAGAAATAGCCAAGGTGGTGTTTCCACATGCAGAGCCATGGTCATGCAGGTGCAGGTGTGACAGCTGATCAAAGGGATCCACCTCCTGGATGGGGTTCTTCTGATGGACAGCTCAGCCAGCCATGACTGCAGTGCTTGTGACCACAGCAGGCCCTGAAAAGAGGGACCTGGGGTGGATCTTCAGATCTCAGTCAGGTCAGACAAGCTGAAACTTTTCTCAAGTCACTCATTGCCGAATCTGCATTAATTTCCCTTATTTATCTTTTAAATAGAGAATAGATTCATCAGGACACCACATGGATATTAAGTTCAATTTCATTGCTCTAGAGAGGCCTAGAGCTGCTATGTGAGCAATGTGATGCCATGACCACAAGCAGCCTGAAACATGCCAATGTCACCCAAGGAATCACAGAATCATAAAGTTTGGAAAAGACCTCTAAGATCATTGAGTCTGACTGGATGGGTGTGAGGATGTGGAATAAGCTTCATTACACTGTTATGTGACAGAGGAGGTTCTAGTAGATAATGAAAATACTGTGGAAAAAGAAGTGTGCACAGAAACACTTTAATTTAATTACAATAAAAAATTTATTTTGATTCATATCATACTGAAAAATTAAATAAATAAAATGTCAACAAATGATTGTGTAAGACTCCCCACCATAAGAGAAAAAATCAAAATTGATTGTGTAGTCAGAGAAAAGTACAAAGAAAACCTGGTCATGGGAGGAACAAAGTGCTCAAGAGATTTGGCTTTGGTAAAAAACATAACACACATTCAAGGAGTGCTTCAGAGATTTTGCAGTGGTGGCAAATACAGTCCAAGAGTTTGAAGCCTTGACATGTTGTTAAATGTTTTCCTTGGTTCTTTTAAACCAAATAAATCAAAAAAGTTTCTAGCAGGAAAACAGTTTTCAACAATGCCAATGGGAATTAATTCTTACCTCAGCATCTTCTGTTGGTATCTCCTGATTCTGAAGACAATTGAAAGAGCAGCAAAATTGTGGAGAAACTGAGACAAGGCTCTAACACAACAGTCAGCTGCCTAAAGAACTCTAGAAAAAGTTCCCCTGGAATAGAAACCTGATGGGACAGACTTTCCTCATCCTACACCTGGAAGATCCACTCTCTGCTCTCCTTACACTCTGAAAAATGAGTATCAGTGGTACACAGTTACTGCTTGCTGTTGGCAACAAAATTAAATGGGAATTGCATCTTGTTCCATGATGAAGACACTAAATTTATCTGCATGTATGAGCCATGAGGTTTCTATGTGCTGTCAGAGGCAGAATGGTCAGAGGAAAATGGAAATTTTATTAGAACATCAAAAGGAAACTTTCAGAACACGGTCTAGAATATAACTGTCTTCTTTTCCCACTGTTTTTGATTCCAAATTGACCCCTGTAATAAAAAAACCCCAAAAACCAAAAACCAAAACATCAAGGGGATAAACCACCATGAGTTTTCTTCCAAGTCTTTCTAAAAATGACTGAAAGAGCAGTCAATGTTTCTGAATTACTAATACTTGTCAATGAGAAAAAAAAGTACTTGAAGCTCCAAAATCCAGCCACCCTGTGAAGTTATCACTGGCATCTTACATGTAGTCTTTTACCTCTTCAATTTGTTATGTTTGTATTACTGCAGCATCTCACAAGAGGCATATTCATTAACAGCAATTTAATCAAGCAGGAGTGCTTAAAGCAAACAAACGTGGTTCAGGCAGCAATGCTTCATTCTTTCACAAAGGACATGTAGGAGACAGTAAGGCCATCAAATCTGCTGTGCCTGTGACATGCAGGTGAGTTCTGTTTGCCATGCTGGGAAATGGCTCTTGACACGAGGATTGTGAACAGGTCTCATCATGAGGATTTGCAAATCCTGCCCTTTCCACACTGCTGAACTGAAGGGGCACACGAGCTGAGGGATTCCCACACGAAATGTCTATTTGGCATCCTTGGCTCTTTATATGCCACGAGTCCAGTAATACTCACTTGGATAAAGCAATTCATTCTGGTGAGTGGTGCTGTGACCCAAAGTTCCAGCTGGCCATGACACTGTGACATGTATGGCTGCCTTGGAGGGAACCTCAGTGGTACCAATGGCTGCAGAATGACAAGGGGATAAATCCTGGATGAAGCACATCATTGTTGAAGGGCTTTCACCAACCTCAAATTCTCACCTGCCTGGACATTCTGCCACAACTGGTGCATAGAAGAGAGGACATTTAGATGATGATTTCTTTTGCCATAAACTCCAGCCAATGTGATGCATTAAAAATTAAATATGCCATTTTTTCCAAGCCTGATCAAAAGTCCCTGGAAGTCTGTGGCAAGAAGTCCTCTGGTTTCACCAAGGCTGAAAGTGGATCCATAATCCACAAGTCCTGTTTTCATGATATCAAGAAGAAAAGGCCACTGCTTTCCATTCTTCACTGCCTGAACTTGGATTTATACTTTATCTGTCCTTGAAGCTTTAATGCATTGATTTCAGCAAAAATCTGTGGATATAAAACCTCCACTGTAACTTCCTTCCTCTCACTGCCTAGAGGTACTGACATAATACACTTATTTCTTCAGAGATGCACATGATTTTGAAATCTGTCTCATGCTCTAAGATCAGCTTGTGCAGATTGTGTCTTTGAAGGTGCTGCTACAGAGCAAAAGATTCTTAGTGTATAACTAGCTAATATCTCAAAACATGTTTTTTTTCCCATTTCAGATAGAGACCTTGTAAAGAGATATTACATTTTTAAAGTTGTAAAAAAATTAAGAACATTATTTTCCTTGGGACTTTTGAATATTTTCCCATGAAAAAATGTAAAAGGTACCTTTAAAAATGGTCTTGTTTGTGTTTGTTCAAATGCAATATAGGATTTGTTATTATTGGTTTTGACTACAAAAGCATACCAGACAGAAGCCAAACTTTGGTTAGTTTTTCCCCCTTTTACAAAAATGTTTAATTTAGGGTTTTTCATCTTAAAAAAAAAATCACATTTGTTGCACAATTATAAAAGGCACATATAAATGACTTGAAGAAAGTCCACTTCCCAATATTAAACTGATTAAATAAACAAACAAACAAACATACCAGAGTATTTTCCATCAAAAAAAAAAAAAAAAAGAAAACAAAAAACCAAAACACATCAAGAAACCAAAAATTACATATAATCAAACAAGACAGACAAGTGGCTAAAAAGGCCATTTTTTTTCCTGGAGTTTTCAGTATTATTTTCTCCATCATTATGGCTGTGTAGGAAGCAATATTAAATAATACATGAGATGATTTGATTCGTATTTCTAGACACTATCAATGCAAAATGAGGCAATGGTTGAAATACTTAGTCCTCCAGGCAACTTCATCATGTTTTTCCTTAATACAGCATGAAAATAGAAGTAATAAGAAAACAGAGAAAAGGTGGTTCAAAAAGAAGATCAACAGCAGAAGTGAATTCATTTCTTTGAGGTAATCCTTACTATGATGTTCACAGCTGCCTTAGCGGATCTCTAGTCCCAGAAGTCATTTTCACTCTTCTTCAAGGATCTCCTGCCTTGCTCAAGGAGAGAACAGACACACAGAGAGCAGTTCCTGTGCTCAGGCTTCCTCTAATTGCAACAGGCAGATCTTTCATCAGTAATTCAAGAATCGAGCCATAGAGCCTAAGCAGAGATTAATTTATTCCCGTAAGTGGTTGGTAGCTCCCGCTCTCCCTAGATAGGAAATCATGTGCAGCTTGGAAGCCTGGCCTCGCTCCCTGCAGAGTGAGATGCTCCAAATCCACCACAGACCCACGCATTCAAACCCAGCTGGTGCCTCATCTTCACTGCTGCATGCTGGAAATTGCAGCCCCCACTTGTCCCCTTGGCCAGGGTCATCTACCCTTGAAAAATTTTATTTTTTCAATGGAGGCAAGAGTCAAAGTTATATTGAACTCAAAATCTCCGTCATGGACGCCTGTCTTCCGGAAAGCCCCACCTGAAGTGTTGTTTTCCCAGTAATGATGCCAGTGTCCTTTGCTGTCTGCTCCAAAGCCATACACATTCACCTAGGATGGAAGGGACAACTAGTGTTACAGACTGCAAAACAATTGCTCTTCACCTCAAATGCTGAAGAAACTCTTTATTCTCAGTGTATTTACAGGCAGCAGCACCTGAGGTCCTCAGTGGCATCCTGAGCTCTTCTGCTGCATGACATGACCACAGAGAAACAGCACAAGGCCTACCCAAGGCATGTGACATCCTAAGCTATGCTGAGACATCACCAGACCTGAACTCAAAGGGAAAAGGAGATTTCTATCCATTAATTCTTGTTTAGCAATACGAAAATGCATTCCTATCCCTTAAGCATGACTGACCTCAGGAGACCTGTGGCTTGGGATGGGAATCTCCTCTTCAGCTAACTTAAGCCACAAAGTGTGAAAAAAAATTTGGTTTGGTCCTGGTCTTCCAAATAATGACTCATGGTGACCACACTTATATGCTTGATTATATGATGTTTGCAATTACTTCAGAGACAGACGGACTTTATGTTCTTTGCATTTGTACTCACCCAGCCTCTCCTCTCCCAAAGGCTCATTTGTTGATGACTATGCCCGTCTCCTCTGATGACAACAGTCCAAACATCACTACTGATTTATTTAAACGGAGAGTGGTGATATGTCTGACTGGATTTGAATGGGTCACAGCCCCAAACCAGCTCCCTAAACCAAGCACACACAGGCCCATTCAAATATGAGCTAGTTTTAAGTTGTTTTCAGTAATGTCAGAGCCAGGTTCATTGCCTGCTTACCAGAAAACAGGCTCCACTCATTCTGCTGTGACTATGGTAGAGTTTCTTCCAGTATCTTTAGGAGTATTTCCACCACCTCTCCAAACAATACAGGCCTGGATGACCAAAACTCTCATCAGCAGATCTGTGTCCAGGACAGGGATTTTGCCAGCAAAGAAATTTTATCTCAAATGCTGACAAGCCCATGGTTGCAGGACTTTGTAGAGCTGACCTGGCCTTACTCTAACTATCTGAGTCTCCAGTCACCTTGGAGCACCTCACATCACTCAAACCAGGGAATTTCCCCAAGTAACTGCTGGAGCAAAGGCATTTACTATAACCTGCAGTATAACCCCACAAGCCTGAGTTTGAAAATACAAGACAAAACATAATTCAAACTTTCACTAGCAAGATGGGCATAGATGACATTCATGTTTAGATGTCTTTTGATACCAGCTGAAATCTTTGTTTATGTTTAATTATATTCTCCTGGAGTGCATCGTAAACCCTATGATTTGCTGACATTAAAAAAATCCATCACTGTCACTTGAGTGTGTCTTCATGTTTCTGAAGAGTCTGCATATGTTTGAAGAGGTAAATAGCAGAGAAGGTGGAGAGGGAGAAACCAAGGCTGAATGAGTGGCCAGTGGTTGTTCCTGGCTCTTCAGTGTGAAATGTCTTGATTTTTTATCCATATATCCAAACACAGACAGACTTTACCTCATCACATACATGGAGAGCAAACATCAAAGACAGAAGGCCTGTGGAGGGGTATCTCCCATGATGCTCAAGCCAGTTTTCATAGATGTATTTCATAAAAGCTGGATTATAAACCAGGATCTAGGCAAAATTGGAGAGAAATTAGTAAAATACCCTGGCAAAATAACAATGGTAGCACATCATTCCTAAAGGACATCAAGGTAGGGGATTGGGTAAGAAAGGAATAATAGTTATTCCTTGAAGGCAGATGAAAGGCAAAAATAAGTCCCATATTAAGTTCATTCAGGAATATTTCCCATGTGCAATTGCAATTCAGTAGCCCTTCCTTGGTCTTGATATCCCTCCTGCTTACAGTAATGTAAATCCTGGAGATTCCTACGGAAACCAAGGGGTATGAAACGGCACAAGTGAGATGGAAATTAAGCATTAGCCATTCAACTCTCCCTGCAGCACCCTGCAGGTGAGCTCTGGGGAGCTGGAGTTCTGAAGGCAAGCATGAGATGCTTTCTTGTGCTTTTCAATGGTTTCACTGAACCATAGATTAATTTAGGCTGGAAAAGACCCCTAAGATCATCAATTCAACTGCAATTTGAGTGGGACCATAAAAGCAACTGCATCTTCTGCACAATGTGCCAGCCATATCTTGGTATCTCTACAGGTACAGATCTAAGGAAACCAAGGGCCAAATGAAAATTACCAGGAAGCCTATTAGGTGGTGTATTCTTCTTTTATCCTGTTTCTCAAACGTGCCACTTTTCTATGCTCTATGTTTTTTTCTTACAAGACATAAAATGCATTTGTGTATCTCACAGAGACAGAGCACTTAAGATAAGACCTGAGAGTACAGTAAACCCAAGGACTGGTAGGAGCCCTTGGTTTCATCCCCCTCCCCTGGGTGAGGCAAACAGAGACTTTTCCCTCCACGCTGCATTTGTAATTAGAGTGACAGCATTTCAGTGGTATCTGGCTAGCTGCAAGGCTTTTCCCTTTACAAAGTCAGAGGTTAATTGGTGATATTGCATCTGTGTGTAATCTCTTCTCACAGGGTGTTTTGCATTGCTCAGTGTGGGAAGAAACACAGGCTTCTCCTCTCATGCTCAGGGAGCTGCTGCATATCACCATACCCTGGGCTGCTGCCACTCAACTGAGATGTGAGTTTAACAACCTGCCCTGGTGTTTCTCACAGGAGTTTTGCAGAGGTTATCATGTACCTCACAACAGGTAAGGATGAGCTAAGGGATTATTTAATTCACCCTAGAGGTCCATGGTTTGAAGCAAAGGAAAATAAACTGATAGTAGTTCAGGGTCTTACCTGAAGGCTTTGGCAAAACCTGGCCTCTTGAATGAAAGGTGTGTGCTTTAATTTGTAATTTTGAGGTTCTGGAGATAATGTCATACTTTAACAGCCCTTGATGGACTAGGCACCTGTACTTCTTTGCAAAATCAGTCTCTCCAAAGGTTGAGAGAATGAGATCTTTATTTTTCTGGAAGCTCTATGGAAGAGGTTCTTCCTTTCTCACACAGCCTGCCTTGGTTATATTCTCAAACCATGCAGCTGCATCAACAGAAGTCTTTGCACGATGGCTGAAGTTCCTGCATGGGAATTAACATCCTGGCCCATGGCAAATCCTGCCTCCAGACTGTTCCTGTCTGTGCTCTCATGCAAACTGTGCTTGAACATTGCCCGTGAGACCTGTAATATACCTGGAGCAAAACCTTCCTGGACTTGGCCTGAGCTCAGCCTCCAAGCTTGTTTAATTGGGTTCAGGTAATTACTGCAGCTGTGGGCTAAGAGCCTACCACCAGGAATTCTCCACTGACTTGGAAATACACAGCTTTATTTGTTTAGAGTTCACTTAGCTCCTTAAGGAACTGACCTCGGACTGAGAAACATCCTTGGTGTTCAAATATTAAAATTATTTAAGAAAACCTCCAAAATCTCTCCTCAGTATCATTACATCCAAATGACTGCAATGGGTAGGAACAAAGCATTTCTGTGGAAGACAATGCTGCACTTTTAATGTCCCTGAGCAGCACCAGAGGATGTGATGCAACCTTCAGAACAGTGTTCATGCAACGGAGTAGCCACAAGAGCAATTTCTTTCCAACCACAGTTATTTAGTGGTTGATCTATGGCCTAAATGGCACACAGCACCCAAATCTTCAGCTTAGCCTTGTAAAGTGTATGTATTTTGGCTGCAACTTTTTATGAATGTCAAGGGCTTGCTTTGATTCTTGCAGTCTCCCAAAGGGGCAAAAGACCTACAAATAAATTAACAGAACAAATCCACAAACCAGCATTGCTCACCTTTTCCTTTTTGACTTTGATTTTCCTTGGAACTGGAACATATGTACTGTTAAAGAAAAAAGAAAGTACCATGATAAATAAAAGCCCAAATTATTAGTATTTTCATGTAATTCCAAAGAAAGAATATTCTCCACGTACAGTAATAAATTCAAATTGTTCAAAAGTAGTAAATTCAAGAAGTTGTTGTAAAATGAGGCTGCAATTAAGTAACACAGCAGGAAAAAAACTGAGCTGTCACTGAAGCAATTTTATAGGAAACTATTAAGTTCTTAAATATTCAAGTTAATTATTGACAGTAGGATACCAAAGATTTAGTTGAGAATACACTGTAGAGTCAATACAGTGTGGAGCTTGAGACTTCTAATTCTTGGATCATTATTGTTGCAGTCTTTGCTCTTTGATGATGTAAAAGACTTTCCGTTTAATTTCATGGCAGAAAAACCTTCTCCCACCAGGGGGAGACTTCTCCTCTCCTAATACTCATGATTTTCCGAGTCGGTGGCAGCAGAGTTCACCAGTTCTGTGGTTATATGAAACTCGGGCATTCCCAGTACACAGCCCCTCACAGAAAGCTATTGCCCTCCTCCCCACGGTGATGCTGAAGGCTTCCTGCAGTCTCCTGCATAAAATTTCCAAGTTACACCTTATGACTGGGTTGAAATCACGAGTCATGTCTTGAAAATGAAAAAAACTTTTATTCCCCGTATCTCATGCACAATGTGTGCTGGCATTGCACAGCTCATCACGACTGCTGTAAGAGAAAAATCATCCTGAGTTTGTTTCAAGTGAAAAAGTTCGGGTCAGCTGGTCTTGTAATTGGAGTATATCCCAAAATATATCCTCCACACATTTTAGATGGGTTGTGGCAAATCACCAAAGCCTTCCATTGGTTCAGTCTGAATGTTTTCACTTCGGTTTTGGTGACAAGGTTCCTGTCATTAAGGTTTTATTTTCTTTAAACCACAGAACATCATCACTTTTAAAACTCAGTTTAAATCTTCCCAAACTGGCCTGCAATCTGTGCTCTGGGCTGGAGGCAGTGAGAGCTGATGGGTGGTTCCAGTGCTCCTAAGAGGTGATGCTCTTGGGGAAAGGGACACTCACGCAGACTTCTCAGGCTGGTCTCAGCAAATATGCAAACATGCAAATATGCAAACATGCAAATATGCCCAGGTAGCTGCAGCCCATGCCTGACCTTGATCAGCGAATCAATCTTGGTGATCCCACGACCTTTTTGCCATGAAGACAAAAAGGGCTTCTTTGCTGGTAAAATCTCCTTAATATCATATAAATAAACAGTTAATCTTTTCTAAAAAGGTGATGTGGAAGAAACAAGAGGGCTGTATTTCATGGATAGATACAGTAGCAGACCAAAGAGAGAAGTATGCAGCGTTCAAGACAGCACATGTGGACATCTCTGATCTAACCAGGATGCTGTAGCTCTTGTCAGATGACACATTAGTCATTTTAACCAAGGACTGCCTCATTGTTTCAGAAGAAATACCCAAGTCCTGCTGTCATGTGGCTGCAGAATTTCATGAAATGACAGAAAATACTGGCACACTGATTAAGACCTCTGCTCTAATGATCATGTAGTAAATCCTGGGCTGCAGGGCAGCCAGGGAATGAATGACCCAGGCGGTACCAAACAGGAGTGGGACAGAGTGACACCTGTGATGAAGGTGGCTACAGGCAGTGTCACCTATCACCTGGGAAACATCTTCCATGAGCCACTTTGCAGGGCTGTAGAGAGCTCTGTCATTGTCCCTGGCCACCTTGTACACAAGGTGTAAAAAAACATTTACTGAACCCTTAACCCACACGTGTAACATTTTAAAGAGCACAATAACTGTCTTTGTCAAACTAAGTGGAGTTTTTTCACACAGATTCATACAGATTCCTAAAAGACTTGCAAATGAAGGCAACCAGGGTAAATATATGGCTGATGAGGGCCTGAAAGTTTTCTATTCCAGAAAAGGCATTTCTTAGTCTTTTCTGGAACAATGCTTAGTCTTAGAGTGACATTTTTAGATTGAAATACATCAGTCAAATGGGACTGAGAATGAGAGAATCACTCAGCTATCAATTGACGCTAATATGAAGGCAATCTGAAGTTTGGCTTTTGTTTTGAATCGTAAAAAATGCAAGAATTATGATAATAGTAAGAGAAGAATATATTTAACTCACAGGTTTTGAGTTTTAGGTAATTCTTTTATTTGGCTGAAATATGGAAAATTAAACACTGTGTAAAATCTAACCAATACAGGATGCTCTTCTTTTTTAGCTATGAGTACACTTGGGTTCTTGTTATCCTAAACTCAGCTGGCACTGTGCAGCCTGTGCACATGGAACAATGCCCTAGCAGACCAGGGTAAGGAGATAGCTATTTCTTCCTTTCTAAAATACTGACTTTCAAATGTGTTTTATTTTTATTTCTTGCTTTCTCCCCTTTAAAAACGTGTACTCAACAATTTCCTTATACCCATTATCTGACACTGTGTGTTTAATGCATGCTCATAGGTTAATTCTACAAAGCTAGAATTATGCTATGTACATTGCTATGATTTGTATGCTTATGATTATGTGCTTTTATTATTCCAGCTTATTAATTATGCAATTTCCCTGTTCTGAGTATGGCAAATATCTTAAAATAGTGTTATTTCTTTCATGTGGTTAAATACTCACCCACTGATTTATACCAGATGTTTACCAAGCCCATGTACACAATCTAATTATAAATATATAATATATCCTGTAATTTATTAAGCAAAGGTGCTTTATTTTTCATGTGTTGTGACTGCATTGTGGTCAACCAGTTATATCTTCCTAACAGGCTAAGAGTTCACTTGAAATCAGTGCAGGGCTCAGAGTTCAGGAAGTACCAAGAGCTTTCTCCTGAGGTGGGGACAGTGGACCTGCCTGCAAAATGTTTGTCCATATAAATTATAGAACAACAGAATCATTTAGGTTAGGAAGACCTCTAAGATCATGGAGTCCAACAGTTAACTCACCACTGCCAAGTCACCACTAAACCATGTCCCTAAGTGCCACACCTACACATTTTTAAAATCCCTTCAGGGATGGTGACACCAACATTCCCATGGACAGCCTGTTCCTGTGCTGGACAACTCTTTTGATGAAGAAAGTAGTTTTGGTATTCAGTCTAAACCTCTCCTGGTGAGACTTGAGGCATTTCCTCTTGTCTTGTCTCTTGTTGCCTGGGAGAAGAGACTGACCCCCACCTGGCTCCAGCCTCCTTTCAGGAGTTAGAGAAAGTGATAAGGTCCCCTTTAAGCCTCATGTTCTCTGGGCTGAACACCCCTATCTCTCTCAGCTGCTCCTCATCAGACTTGTCCTGCAAACCCCTCCCCAGTTCCATGACCCTTCTCTGGACAAGCTTCAGCACCTCAATGACTTTCTTGTAGTGAGTGGTACACTTTTCTAAGTGTACTGATTTTTCTAAGTTATGAATGTGTCTTGAAGGTGGATTTTTTCCAAGTCAGTTTATGACTATATGTATGAAATGCTGGTGATAAAAAAAAGTAAATGGAGTTGAAGGAATCTTAATAAGAAATGAAAATAATCTAAAATGCATCTACAAAGAGAGAAAAGAAAATAAAGAGAAGAAATAAAACTTCATTTGCTTTTCCATCAAAGAGCATTACTTAAAATTGCAAAGTGGGTCATTTGCCCAGTCAACATGTCCAAGACACACTTTTCCAACTTTAAATCTTCTGAAACTTTGAAATTGGGAAAAAAGTTGAAATGTCTTGAAATCTTTCTCCCTGGAGTAAAGCAGTCTGATCTGCTCTTGCTGTCTATGTGTAGCAGAGTGTCACCAAGCAGTCCCACAAGGCTGTGGTTTCACATCCAGCAGATAACCTCACACACAGTACAAATGTCATCTATTTCATACTCTGGATTAGGAAAAGCCAGCTTACAGGAAGGGAGAGAATCTGCTAGCAGGCTTCCAGAAAAAACATGCATTTTGATCACATTGCTAATTCTAGTGCTGCCATAAAAGCATCTAGCAGGAGACAACCTTTACTTCTGACAGCACTCAGAAAAGAACTGGAGAATAAATCTCAGTGTGTCACATTATTGCCAAGTAGAACTCTTGAATTTAAGGTTAAGACATGCAGGTGACACATAAAACATTGTTTCCTTTGCACAGGTCTCAGTCATGTTCCACCAGGAAAGACAGACCAAACTCCTGACCAGCCTGTCCAGGGGAGCTCATCCTGTGGATGGGGCACTAAGGGCTGTGGTCTCCATCTGCTCTCACTGCCTCAGGTGGGCAACCTGCACACCTCCCTCTGCCTCCTCATCCTTTTCTGCAAGTGTACTGACTCCCAAGGAACCAGAGAGGAGGGATGAGCAGAAGCCCAAAATGAGGCACCGAACCCCAAAGCTCATGAGCCTTTTGATTAAACTGGTCACCTCCACCAGCAAAAACTCCCCTTTTCATTTCTACCAGACCACTGGGGTTGTAAGGGACTAGATCTCGATCTTTGCCTCTACAACTGCTTCATAATATTAAGCTTTTCCTAGAAATCAAGAGTTTAGGGCTGAACTCTGAGTTGAGAGGGTCAGTAAAGCACCCCCAGGCCTTATCAGAAGCAGAGATTTGCCCCACAAAGGCTCTCATCTCCTACAGCAACATGCAGTGTGGAGCTCCCACCCCTTGTGCCTGCCCTTACTCACAAGTTGATGGTGCCTGTGGTGAGAGCAGTGACAACCCAGCGCAGGTCCAGGGTTTTGAAGGGGATCAGGATCATGCTCACATTTGCTGCCAGCTCTTTGTAGCTCTCAGGATAAACAAAGTGGTGAGTGGTCTTGCTCCCAACATCTGATTCGTAGCCAGCAGTGGGGGCACGGTTCATTCTGTAGCCCAAAAGTAAGAAGTGAGACAGAAGAGGAATTAGGTAAGTACAAGTGCATGTGAATTTTCACCAAGACATTTGCTTGAGGTGCAGGAACATGCTCCCATGGCTAAGGGGAGTGCTATATGCAGGCTCTTCAGACAGCCCTGACAGTGTGTAGGGGTCCTCAGGCAAGCTGGAATGATCATAACCCCTGTGATTGAACAGTAAATGAAAGCTCAGCTTTAGTGTGGAATTCCTTGGACTGAACAGGAGTGCCTACCAAGCAGGTATATCTCTGAGCACATCTCTGTGTTCCCTTTACAGTCATTAAAAGAGAGGTGAGTCCATGAGGACACATCTCACTTCATCCTAAAGCTGCATCCTCCAGCTGATGAGAAAAACATTGCCCTGAAGTGCATCAGCTTGACTTCTTGCAGTTCCATTTCCCTCTTATCCCTTCAGGTGTATTTGAATGCCTAGGGTCAAGGTAATAAACTATGCTGTATGTGACGAGAAGCAGCAAATATTCCTTTACAGTTCTCCCACAAAAAGGCACCAAAGCCAGTGCCAATAGGCACAAAGACAGTGACAAATACAGGACCTGCTGCTGAGCCTTCATTTTCTCAAACCTTTCTTTTATTTTGTAGTATGTACTCCAATGTCCAGAGATAATCAGGGTCACTCTGCACACACATGGGGTGCTTTAGGCAACCCTTGGGTCAGTGCATGGAGATCTGCCCAGGGCCTCCAGGGCTCAGTTAAGAAGTGTTGGCTAAACAGGGCTACCCTACTTTATGTTGGATGTATCAGATTCACAGAATCTGAGGATATTCTGGGTTGGAAGGGATCCACAAGGATCATTGAGTCCTGCACTACTGACAGAGTCCAACTCTCAAATGAACGGCCCATACAGGGAACAGAGAGGGGATTTCTGAACTCAGGACTGCAGAAATCCCTCTATGCCTGTGTTCATTTCTGAAAGCCAATCTGGGAACACATCAGCAATTCTCTCCCTGATGCTTTAGCTCCTCAGTGGCAGAGATTTGCATATTTCTGTGGTGCAGCACAGTGCACATTAGAGAACCCTGAAGCAACTTGCATGAATCCATGGCGCTGTACAAAACCATGGAGAAACCCTTCAGTTGTCTCTGAGCAAAATGTTTTTTTTTCTGCAATAACATTAGCTCAGCTCCTGGCAGAAGCACAGGGAGGACAGGGAAGGATGTAGCTGACAAGGTAACGAGGGGTATCGTACATTGCCAGACAACATGCTGCCCTGGTTAATGATAACAGAAGAGGAAAAATCTGTTTATCAAGTCTATGCCAGGCTGTGTTATTGCAGTTCTCCCCCAGGAAAAATTACTTAAGTTTCTTCAAACTCCCTTCATGGCAGTTATTAGTGTAGTTAGAATATCCTGCCAGCCTCGTGGATTTGTTACTGAATTCCCTGTTATCGGCTACCCTACCCACACCATACTTTGTAAAGACACTGGAAAAGCACAGGACTTTCTGTGTTTTACCTTGAGATTAGCCAGTCAGAGATATAAAACATGAGTGTTTCTTTCCATCAAGACAAAGACAAGGGTGGCATGTTGGTCATCTTACACTCTGCCCTTGGGTCTGTGTACCCTTCCTACCACCCATGGTGGGGCTGTCTGTGCCATAGGGCAGAAGGCAGTGCTCACACCCAGTCCCAGCAGGAAGGACCAAGCAGGAACTTCCTTCTGTCAGGAAAGTGGATAGTTACACAAATCAGACTCCTTGGCTCTCCCCTGCACTTGGCTGTACTGCCAGAGCATGTGGAAGTGAATTTCAGGTCACCAGAGATTTTGTGTTTGACGCACAGAGAGGTGACCTTCTCTGCACAAATTTCCATGGTGAATCCTAAAACCTTGTGCAATCCTTTCAGATTTGGCTTAAGAAAGAAATATAAATATAAATATAAATATAAATATAAATATAAATATAAATATAAATATAAATATTAAATATAAATATAAATTATAAATCTGAGACTGGAAAGTTCGCTAAGTCACTGAGAGTTTTGCCCTTGCCAGGGATGGCTGGCTATGGGATGGGCAAGGCCTCAGAGCAGAAACATGCACCTGGGTGTGTTACTCTTTATTACTACCAACTTTTGAGTCTAGCAAAGTCTTTTCTGCACAAGTCTGGAAACGTAGGACAGGCAATAGAAGAGAGTCCACACAAGAATGGGGCTGTCTCCATATGGAAGGACACAGTTAGGCATAAATGCAAGACAGCTTCCCACATTTGCAGCTGCCCCACATTTACAACCAGTAGGAATAATGTTGAGGGCTCTCCCTTTCCCTTCATGGATCTGTAGGACAGGTTGGTGCCCCTGCCTTTGGGGAGGTACTTTTAGCAGGGAGCAAGACATGCAACTGCAGGAAGCAACTTCTGATATGATTTGTGAAGATTTAGATGTCATCTAAAGACTCTATGCCATGTTAATGCCACATCAGAAGCCAAGGTGGCTTAACAGTTCAAACAGCGTTGATCTCCTGTTGATTTATTCTTGACTTCAGTGCACAGCTTCCTACTAAGGCTTTCATTGCTTCTGAGAGAATAATCCCACATGTGGCATTTCAAGAGCAATCCCTCCCTTCCTGCACTTTATTGCTCTGCAAATTATACTGTGCTGGCAGCTGTGGTGTAAAACGCAGATGACACCTTGGAGATGAACTTAGTCCAGATATTTTGGCTGCCCTCTGGGTGATAAACTCTGTTTACCTAGTTCCTGCTTGCCTTTCAGTGGAATAAAGTAGCCAACCTTGTTGCCTTGAAAGGGAGGGGCAATGCCATCCTTTACAAATTACCTGCAGCCAAACAGGTGACTCCTATCCACTTAGAAGTCTTTGGCTTCCCCACCCTAACACTACTTAAGAACGAACTAATGTAAGAAAGAAAAATCTAATACAGTCAGTTAAATGTCTGAAAGACCACTTGTGAGCACTGGCTGCAGAAATAACTTTTACTCATAAGTGCAAATCTTTTTTCTCTGATATTTTTTTAACACAGGCAATTATGTATGGTGCAGAACTAGCTACGGTATCCATACCTATTAATGTTTTTTTGGTCCAAACTAAAACATGAGGTCATATCTCCAACACACATAGTTTACACCCCTGAGACTTGACTTAAGTACCAGGTTTCACTAGACAGACCCTGAAACCTTGTTTACTCACTTGTCCCCCCCAAATACCAGTGAATTTTAGACAGCTGAGGTGCAGCTGAGGTGGTTGTCCCTCACCTGAGCACGAAGTCGTGCGAGTCGATGTCCTGGCCGTAGTTGGACTGCCGGAGGTTGCCCGAGTTGCCCACGACGGCGCAGCGCCTGCAGCCGGGGGAGCCCCGCTCCTGCAGCGGGTCCCCGTCCCCAGGGATGACCCCAAACAGCTCTGACAGAGTGGAGTTCAAACTCCTCGGAGCTTTCTCTCCTTGCAGTTTCTGTCAGGGAGAAAAACCGCTCCGGGTTACCAAGGCAGGCAGCTTTTCTGTGAGCTAGAGGGGGCTTGAAATGTCCACTCAAAGAGCATTCCTGCAGCTGCCCACAGATACTGCCTTCTGCAGTGCAAGGCTTTGGGTTAGGGGCCAAAGGGTGAAAAAAATCAACTGGAAAACCCCTTAACTTTTTAAACTTGGCTTCCTTTTTCTCCTCCTTCTCATCAGATTCCCACACTTCCTCAGTCTTTATCTAGCCATGACAACAGATCAAGCGTTTTCCCCAAGGCTGGCCTTAGCAGAATAAATGTTCTTCTGGTGTTCTATAAGCCTAAACCCACTCTGGGTCAGGTATCTTCTGTTAGGAAGATGTGTAAGATTTGTTTTAGCTCTCCTACAAATGACAGAAAAGTCTCTGGGGAGCTGATGGAAGACAGAAATGGCTGATATCCCTGCCACAAATCTTGGCATATGCCAGGAGTGGAGAGGGGAATGGGAAGTGAACTGTGGAGGAACCTGCTGCTCATGCAATAAGAAATTCTACTCTAGAGTTAGCCCTGAGGGTTGGAGATGTATAATCACCTAAAAAAAAATCTCCAGGATGAAGAAAACCACCCGGACCTTGGTCATTGTGTCTGTTGCCATGGAGGGAAACTGTTCTGCAGCAGCTCTGTGGTGCATGGTGGAAACAATGCTGGATTGGGAAGGCACAGGCAAGGTGTAGGGCAGGTGATGGTCTGACAATCCCTTTCTGGGCTCAGCTCTCTGAGGTTTACTGAAGAGGCTGGGAGTGCTGGCATGCTCACAAACAGCACTGCCCACCCTCGCAGTGCCACTTTGCTTCCAAGCTCACAAAAGGAGAACAGGTTCAGCACAGAATGGGCCAAAAAGGCTCTGACTTGCTCTGCCAGCCCCAGAGCATGGAAAGACAGGGAGGGAGAGAAGAGAAACACCTTTTCCCACGACTCCCAGGAATGGCCTGGGCTAATTTGGCTTTAGTTTCCAATGTGTTTCCCTTGACTGCACCAGGAGCTGTTATTTTGTCCTGCTATTTCTCTCTCTCACACAAACACACACAGGTGCAGCACTGCAATTTTTGTTTAAATTCTGTGCTTTTTGCAGGACCTTATTTTCACTGAAATGAACAACAGGTCTTTGGAGCTTAGAGCTAGAAGATGACACTGAGAACCTGAAACAAAGAAGACAAAGAAATGCATACATAGACTTAGTCTTCCCACTAATCCTTCCTGTTCTATATACTTGTATATGGATGCACAAGGTGATTAGCATGCAAGGTAATTAGTGTGACCAGACAAGCACTGTAATTATGACCATGTATGTCACTATTCAGTGCAAGGGTCAATTATATAAATAAAAAAAGTCATCTTCTAAATTTGTGTGTGATTCAACAAACACATGGCCACATATCTGAACTCTTGTGTGTTCTTTATGAATGAAATCTAACCTTGTCTTACTCCGAATATGAGAAAAACAATGCAAGAAAACCTGCAGCCTTCAAAACAATTTGAGACTTCACCGATGTCACAGAGTGTAGTACAGGTGTATAATGCAGTAAAATAAAATCTTTTTTGAAAAAAGAAGTTATTTTGAGTTATTTGGACACACATTTGCATACACCCATATATACTCTCTCTCTGTAAAGATGAGCTGACTCTTAACTGTCTTTAAGAAATGAAAAGGAAACCCACCAAAATCTTATTTTTTAACTCATTTGGCCTGAAAAATTCAGAAGAGGAAGGCAATTTTCAGAAAATTCCAAGTACCTGGGTGCCCTTTTTAAGTTAAATTTTCTTTTCATCCAAAGTGACAGCATCGGAAAAGGGAAAGATTTGAAGTATTGGTGCATTTTTGCTGCATTAAAATAGCAAGAAACATCCTGAATAGGCACCTCCATTTACAGAGCTCAGGCATCTACCATTCTTTTATGCTTCTGTCTAGAGTAACTCTACTGCAGCCAAGTTGAAACATGGGAACCAACATCAACCTGAAATCATGACACCATTGTCCTACAATCCCTCTGTTGTACACAATTTCCATGGGAAAGATCATTATGAGACATCTGTCCTTAACTCATTTGAAGTGCTCTGTTTTGATTTCCCAGTGATTATCTGATTGAACTATACGTTTCAGGCCTAACCTTCTATCAACACTGCTTAGGCTTTGACGTTTCAGCAAAACATAGAAGAGGAAGCAACAAAGCAGGTTAACTCCAAGGCGTATTCAACTTGTAAATGTTCGGACTTAACATACAGCCAGTTCCTTATTGCACAATGTTTGCTTGGCTTATTGAAAAAAGACCATTTTAATAGCATTACAATTACAAGCCGATTATAGTTCACTTTCCCACACCAAATTTCTGTCCTATTTTTTTTTTTAGTAGTATTGTCGTCTCTTTTTTTTCTTCTTTTTTTCCCCCCTCCTTATCAAGCTCCCAGCAGTCTCGCCTTTCCCATAAATCAACAAAAGCATAGAGTGAAAGTCTGTCCATGCACAGAGCAGTGCCATGTGGCTCTGCTAGGACAGCATCCTGTCACTGTAGTGCTGTAGATGTGTGTCAGGGATATGTGTATGGATATAGCTGCTACAAGTGGCCTTAACTACACTGAAATACTTGACCCCTGTGTCCTGAGTGAAGTGGCTGCTTTTCTCAGAAGTCTGTGCAAGTAATATGTGTGCCCAAAGAAGCAGTTCAACTTTTTGTCCAAGATCATAAAGCATCTTAACTCATCTTGTGTCCACATACAAAATATCACTGGATCAGTAAACCGTCCAGCTTCCCTCCATAAAATATTTGTGCGTCACTTTAGAGTCAACTCCACCTTAGGTTGTTCAAAACTATATTTGGGAGTTCATATTGAGAAGTTTCCTAAATCATCTCCCAGCCTTAGAAATTCCCCATTTCACATACAGAAGTGAACTAGCTGGTTTTGCATCTTCTTATTTTAAAAAAGCAAGCAAGAAGAAAAGAAAAAAGAGAAGAAAAAAGAACCCTCAAAGTTCCTGCATCCCCTTTCTTTACCCATGAATGGCTCTCCATGGAAGGGCCTGTTGTTCCCTCCTCATCACTGTGCATGCCCCCACTAAGGATGACAAGGGATTTGCTGTTTTTTTAAACTTCTCAGAAGGCTTCACTGGGCTCCCCAATACCATCACATTGACAGCACTACCAAGCAGCAGTACCCAAAACTTGGCTAAGGAGTTGCAAAGGGAGAGTGTGAATTCAGCCAAGGCTGCTCAGAGCTAATGGCTTGGAGTGGTGAGGACACAGCCACAGTCATGGAATCACAGAATGGTTTGGGTTAGAAGAAGCCTTAAAGATGATCTTGTTCCAATACTCCTGCCATGGGCAGGGACAGGTCCCATCAGTCCAGGCTGCTCCAAGCCTCATCCAACCTGGCCTTGAAAACTACCAGGGATGGGGCATCCACTTCTCTGGGCAACCTGTGCCAGTGCCTCACCACCCTCAAAAGAAAGACTTTCTTCCTAATAACTAGTCTTAAACTTGCCCTCTTCCAGATTAAGCCATTCCTCCTTGTCCTATCAGTAAATGCCCTTGTGAAAAGTCCCTGTCCAGCTCTCTTGTAGCCCCTTTAGATATTGAAAGCCGGCAATAAAGTTTCCCCAGAGCCTCCTCCAGGTTCAACAACCCTAATTCTCTCAGTATGTCTTTACAAGAAAGGTGTTCCAGCTATCTTCCTGGCCTCCTCTGGACTTGCTCCAATACATCCACATTCTTCTTATCTTGGGACCTCAAAGGAGTCAGGAGCACCTCAAAGGAAAGCTTTCCTGGTGTGCATTCTGCACCCATGACCAATTTGGCAGTATATTAAGCACCACTTCAAAATCTCAAATTATTAGCAGGTAGATTAGCCTGCAATCATTGGTGTGATTAATGCAGACAGAACATGGACCAAGGCAGAACCCTTGTGGTGGACAGACAGGTCCAGCTGTGGCTGTGGCAGCAGCTGGCACTGGTGAGGCAGCCCTGCCAACACACAGCCAGGCAGCCTGGGGCAACCTGGGGTAGCAATACTGGGGTTTGTGGCTTTTCTAATTTTTTTTGTACATGTTTTTAAAAGATAAAGAGTGAATAAAACCCCATGAGAATTTCTTTTCCACAGCTACTAATTGTCTCGCTGTTGCAATTTGGAGGCATTAACACTCATGCAACACTTTCCCGCTACAAGATTAATCTTAGCAACAGTCTGGTGGGGCAAATCCAGGTAATCTCTGTTCTACAGACTCAAGGAGAGCTTAAAAGGAAATAATCAATTTTAAAAATGCCTCTTTGGTCTGGAAAATATTGCTTTATTCTTGTTATATTTCATGTCCGTCAATTATTATGCATCTAAGAGTTGAAGGGGAAGAATTGAAGAGCTGTCAAGAGTTTGGGCTTTGTTTAATGGTCTGTGTAGTCAAAAAATTTGCATTCTCAAATAGAAATATATACGTGCATATATTTTGTAAATTACACACAATAATACGCTGAGCTGTGCAATTTCTGACTTCCATGGTTGGTATGGGTCACCTCTACACTACTCTGACCCTTGTGCTGAGAGAGACCTGTGAGCCTGGACCACCTTCACATCCATCTGTCCTCACCATAGGAGGAGCAGCTCCAGCCCAGCTGGACTTGTACAGGGGCTGCCAGCGAGGGTGAGAGGTGGCCCAGGGTCAGGTTCTTCCTGTATGTCCAAACCTGGTCTAAATGTCATATTAAAAACCAAGCAGCTCAACTGCAGGTGGGACTGGGCATGTGGCAGGCACTGGGACCAGAGCCTGGGGGCTGGCCTGGATTTGGGATTTGGTACCACCTTCTGCAGTGATCTGGTAGCTACACACGACCTTCAAAGTGCTGAGTTTTCTGTATTGCTTTCCAAGTGTCACAGACAGCAACCCAGTTTCAAAGGAAGCTTCTGGTGATCAAAGTATTTGGACACATTTTCCTCAGAGAGCAAAATGCAAAATGCATGGCTCAGGTGCCAAGCAGCTCTGCTGCTGCTTTAAAAATCAGTGCAGCTGCCCCAGCTTCCCCAGCACGTGTTGGGTGGGGATGCCCCTTTGTTCACCGGCTGAAAGCCGATTTTTAAGCCATATATTATGTTTTTCCTACAAACATAATGAGTTTAAACTAATATTTTCTTTTAGATACGCTAATAACATGGCCCCAAGATCTGAGCTTTCTTCCAAAGAAAAGGCAAAACCCTCAAACATCATAAGACTCAAGATAAAAGTACTTCTAACATGATAGTTTATGAACAATGTGCTACAGAGAAGATTGCCAGAAACTGAGCCTAAATTTACTTATCACAGCTTCAATCCATCAACCTCAACATTTGGGTTTAGAACAGCAGGTTCTGATCTATTTCTTATAATTTCTGACCACCAAGAACAATGCATCCCCTTAGAAAAAAACCCAAGAAAACGATAAATAAATGCTGTACTTTGTTACAGCATGTAATTCTTGCCATGCTTCCTTAGACATGCGTTACTAAATTTAATGAGAACATCCACAGCATTTGTGTCATGGTAAAACAATGGAAAACTTGCAGGTGAATCAGCTCAGGGAGGTGGGAAAGAAAATATAAACAGAAAGGAATGTAACACGTAACACCAGGTGTCACCTTGCAAAAACACTTTCACAGTCCCTAAGCATAAGATGAGGGAAGACAGAGGAGAAAGAGAGAGAGAGGAGGCAAGAGACAGGAAGGGTGAGAGGGAGAAAAAGGAGGGAGGGAGGAATTTCTAACAAAATGTTCACACTCTGAAGTGTTATTAATGCACAGATCCTCCCTGAGTGTAGGGGATTCCAATTCAACTTTAAATCACAAAAAGTACAGAGCAGCTGCAGGGCTGTACACGGCAGGAGAATTTGGGCCATTATTTGCTACCCAACTAAAATAATGAAGGGACAGTTTATCAGCCGTGTATATTTAAGCAAATGAGAAGCAGGGAACAGTCCTGACAACAACCCCCTTGTTTCCATGAACAAAGAAACAGCCAGGTACATTTTCAGGGCCCTTCTCTGGAGAAGCCCTGCCCCATGCAGCAAGATGAGCCACTGCAGGGATGGTGGCAATGACCTCTCCTCTGTTCCTTCCCACCTGCACAGGTGGTAGCACTAAATCCAGTATATACAAACAAGTTCATTCAGAGCAAGCAGGAATATTTCCTTCTAAAGGTCACATCCTACCAGGCTGAAAGTGTTCAAACTATATATTCTCCAAATAAACAAAAATGAAGCAGCTTGGCAGCCATGGATAGAGCTGTAAGCAAGGGAAACTACCCCATTCTTTGGTCCCAAATGTCCCTTTGTCTCCAATACTGGTCATTAATCTCTAAAATCAGTCCTCACTGCCCTGTTACTGGAGGGATACTAATGCTGCAGGACTATTTGGATGAATAGCACTTATTCACATCTACAGCAACAGGATAAAGGGGGAGGGATGGAGGGAGGGCAGACTGAGTTTGTGGACAGGGAAGCACTCTCCCTGTTTTTAGGACAGCACATCACACACGTCTCCCCATGACAGGGAAGTCACAGCCATGTAATAAAGAGCTCCAGTGCATCTCAGAGGCTCAGTTACAGCTCAACAAAACCACCACACTGTCTGAAATCAGCTCCTGAGATTGAACACACATTCATTCCCCCTGCCAAAAAGAAGTTTGAGCAATCTCAGGTTTCCTCATACCTCCTTTCTATGTACAAATATAGCAAAAATTCACAAATTACTGGCTATGAGCAATGTTTTCTTTAAGACTGGCCGAAATCTCAGAACTGCTTTGAAGATGAGCCTAAAAATGAACAGCAAAAAGGGACTTGCCCTCAGGATGCAGCTGGGAATTATTTACTGAAGAAATGACACTATCTTGGAAAAGCTTACCCAAAGCAACATGTACATAAGGAATCAGTTGCAATGAGGAGGTGAGGCCACATCATGCCTGGGGTTTACCCAAAATCATCTTTCAGAGGAGTCAGGGCTCTTTCTCCATCTACTACACATTAGGGCAAAGACTTTCAGTAATTAAAAACTTCCAATACACAATGCACTTATGGGGGATATCAAAATATTTCACACATCCTGGTTGAAGATTGAAAACGGAATCTTAGAAGATTTATTTTTACCACCAGAAAAAAAATGGCTTTGATTTTACATTCTGAAGTGGTGCATTCTCTTTGAACTTGATCTGAATTTTAAAAAAAAATGAAAACACTAAAACATCGTTAGACAGCCCTGAAAATTAATGAACAGCTTTTGTTTGGGATGGGGAGGGGGGACTTTTGGCTGTTCTGAAAGTCTGTTTTTTTCATTTTGCTGAAAAAGAAACAAACCTCCTCTGAAAGAATCTGTTTCAGGTTGAGCTGAATTTTTAAGGCACTGTTGAGGCCACACCTCGAGTTCTGTGTCCAGTTCTGGGCTCCTCACTTCCAGAAGGACATTGAGGGGCTGGACCAAATCCAGAGGAAGAAACAAAGGTGGTGAAGGGTCTGGAGCACAAGTCCTGTGAGGTGACTGAGGGTGAGCAAGCTGGGGTTGTTTAGCCTGGAGAAAAGGAGGCTCAGGAGTGACCTTGTCACTCTCTGCAAACACCTGAAAGGAGGCTGTGGACAGGTGGGTCAGTCTCTTCTCCCAGGGAACTGGCAGTGAGATGAGAGGACATGGTCTAAAATTATGGCTGGGGAGGTTTAAGTTGGACATTAGAAGGAATTTCTTCACAGAACAGGTGCATTGCAATGGGCTGCCCAGGGAGGTGCTGGAGTGGCCATCCCTGGAGGTGTTTAAGGAAAGGAAAGACTGGATGTGACACTTGGTACCCTGGTCTGGTTGACAAGGTGGTGTTCAGACACAGGTTGGACTCCATGATCTCAGAGGTCTCTTCCAACCTAAATGATTCTGTCAATTGAGGAAGCACTGGGTTTGGGGGCTTTTTTTCTGTTTCACTACAAAAAGGAGCATTACAGATTCAGACTTCTGTATTGAGTCCCAAGCTTTTTCTTATTGTTTTTTACGTAAGAGAGAATGCATTCAAGCCTCATGCTTATATCAGTCAGTTCTGAGTGCAGAATGCAGAGTGGCTTTGCTCATAGTGTCCATGAGTAACCTCATCCTCTCGTTACTGAGCTCAGTCTGGGCTATGTCCACTCCTCTGAAAACAGCCAGTTGTTAGATCAGCCCAGCCCCCTGGTGAAACATCAAGCCAGGGCAAGGGCAAGGACCTGAGCTTGCCATCTTCCCTTCTCAAGGCTCCAGCGAAGTCCAGACAACAAACATGGGACCAGAAGGAAAAGTGTCTGGAAGTTTCAAGAGAAAACACAAGCAATGGGAAATCTAAGTCATGGCTAAGGGACAGGTGAAAATATACAGCTCCTGGAGTGCTTGAGATTCATTGCAAAAAGGAGGGACCCATCATAAAACGGTTATATTATTTACACAACAATTAAAGATGGCAAAGTTCAGTGGCATTTATTTTTCAATGTTAAATGTAACAGCCAGTGGAGTGAGAAGTGATAAATCCAGTAGAGCTTCATTCCTAGAGCACTGACATCCCTTCCAAAACCCAAATGTCCCCATTGCAATAGTGGGTGCCTATTGGAGAGGCCCCTTCAGGGTGCCAGAGAAGGCTTGAAAGCCCAGAATTCAACAACAAGGGTTGTGTTCACTGCAAGACACCAAGCTGCAGATTGTTATGTGTTCAAAGAAAGGCACAGGGGACTATCTTTCTGGAAGAGGGGAGAAAGAAGTGCAATGAAACTGTGATTTCACTGAAGGTGTTGCAGCAGAACCTGCACATTAGCACCTTGGCAGCACAGCCATGAGTAAATCAAACAACTGATGTCTTGTTTCAAGAGAACATAAAAGGGGCTTTTGTTAGGCAAAACAACAGGATGCATCTTTTTCCCTTCTGTGCCTTATGAACAAGGCATCCACTCACTTTCATGATGCTTGGATTAGGTTTCAAGGGGTAGCTGGACCACCCTGCTCAAGGATACACTTGGGGCTGTTCCTTCCAAGTGACCCACAGCCACCCATGAGCTTTCCAGATCTGTTCTACACCATCAGCCACAACAGAGAATGTTCTCATATGCATGGAATTAATAATTTTCCATTTAATCCTGCTAATTATTTACATATTTTATGGTGGGGAGAGCCCTGGGGGAATTGCACACTCCAGAATTAGTTTGATTATCCACCTTGATGAATGGCAAAAAGCCCATCTGAAGCAGAAACAGAGGGGTTACAAAGCCCAGTCTTTGGAAGAGAAGGGAGAAAATGACAATATTGACATTTGCAAATTCTGGATCTACCACCTAACTCTCTCAAGGACTTCTCTAGCTTGGAGGAAGTGAATGTGTACTCCAAGCCCCTCTGAGCTAAACAGCAGCACAAGTAGCAACTTCCTTCCACCTCTGCCTTGTCAGCTGAGACAGCAAATGCTTTGGGCAGAAAACATCATTCGATGTGCCTGGCATCCCTGGAAGCCTGACGCCACCAAAGTCTGGGCTGTATCCACACCCCCCACTTACCAGCCACCACCTGTAGCTGTCTTCTGGGATCAAGGCATTTTGTGAGGTCAGGAAAGGTTGCATAGTTGAGTTAAATCTCTGATCAAACCAGAGGGAATGTCCCAGCTCCGAAATGCACGTGCGGCAGCTGCAAGGTCTCCTGGGGGACTTGAAGAGTTTTTGAACATGCTCTGAAAACTGCACAACGAGATGTCTGGGGTCCCAGGTGGTTGTGGTCACCTGGTGTGTGTAGTTCAGCAGAAATGATGTCACTGTGATGAGCAGAAAGGCGAAGGTGAACATTTTCACGTTCCTCCTCCTTACCACAACCATCTTTGCCCCTTGGGTTCTTCCCCCACAACGCAGGGTCCAACGTAAGGCAAAAAGGAAAGGCTGCAACAGGTGCCTGCCAGTTACCACCCCAGGCTCAGGCTGAACAGATGGACTCCACTACGTCCAGCCATAAGGGAGAAGCTTCATCTTCCCCAAATGGGCTTAAAAAACGACAAGCTGGGTATTTCCTTTCACCTCCTCATGGTGCTTCCGAGTTCCTTCCACCTCTCTGTGGCCTGTTGCTGACCTCTCCTGATGAGGGTTTACTGAAGACAGACCCTTGCCTTTCTGCATATAGAAATTAAAACTCAGGTTGTGTGTGTGAGAGCAAGTCATACATTAAAACAAGCATTCTTGTATTCTTTCTCTTGGAATTTAGTTCTTGAAGGATGAGATCATCTGGGACTGATGGTTGATTCCATCAGAGAAATGTGCTCGGATATCCATTTAAGCCATGGAGAGAAGTTTGCAACCTAGAGACACACAGAAAAAAAAAGAAAGAAAAAGGGTCAGATTTTTTTTTTTCCATTCCTCTCAACCTAATTTCTCTGCTTTTCCCTCCCCATCCCAGAACGTCTGATCAGGTCAGAGCTCTCAAAACAGCAGCCCTGGCTTCAAGCTGTGCTGAGGTATTTGCACACTGAGAAGTGTGAGGGTGAAATTTTGGAAAGGGCAGAGCATCGACCTGTGGACATTGAGTCTCCTTGTATTGAATCAGCCTCTGGCTCTGCTCTGGCCTTATTTGAATTACAGTTTGTAGCTATTTGAATGACAATGACTCACCTCCCTCCTTCAGGCTGACCTTGATAGCCAAAAGATACCAGCAAAGTATTCATAACTCAGAGCAGCTGAACAGCAAGCATCCGGCAAAGGAGGGAGGAGCAGGGTAGGGAGGGAGATGAATCAGTTCTTTTTCTTTTCCCAGCCAGCTTAATTTCTTAAGGATTGGGATTGGATTTGTGATTAGACAAAGCCAAGCAAAACCAGCTCATATGTCCTGGGACAAACAGGGGAAATCAAAGTATAAATGGCCTTTCTTTCACATGGAAAGTTGCTCTTTTTTCTGTCAGGGCTGGCAGCTTGACCCCAACCTAGGCAGAGAGGCATGGAGCTGCTTTGGAGGTACAGAGGGACCCAGAGCTGGTCTCCTTTCCCCTCCTGGTGTTCCCTGCCTGGCAACAGTGATTTAAACAAGTTTTTAAAAGTCATAAAGTGAATCTGTTCATCCCACAGTGTTTTGTGAGAATGCCATTGTGGGACAAGCATTGTTTTGTGGGAAGAAAAACACGTTGCTCATAAAACTTCAGATGTTTACAAAAAGTCCCAAAAGTGTCATTTTAAAATAACACTCTTTGTCTCTTTGTTTTGTTTTTTTTTAAAGGTAGGAAAAAAATCAGAGAAGCAACCATGTCAGAATATGTGCAATTTATAAAAAAGTGAAATCCCAGCAAAAGAAGGCTCATTCACTGCCAGCAAAACTTCAACTATTACATTTTAGCCCATTCTGTGCATGGCATTGATGCAGGACCCCCCTCACTGCATCACCCCAATGTGCTGTTTATCCAGACAGGAGGGAAGTGCAGCTGCAGCATCCTCAGCTTTCCTGCTGGCTCCTCTCCTGGGGATCTGCGAGGAGCTGCCCCAGACCAAACAACTTTTCCAAGGGGTTTGACACAGCACCTTGGAAACAGCTTGGATTTTAGAGTTGGTGAGGAAATATTTAGAGAGTCCCATACAACCAATTCCAAAAACAGGAGCCTCAGACCTCGGTTTTAAGCCTTTGCCCCAGGTTTCTCCTCCTCAGCACGTGATGGGCAGCATGTGCCCTTCAATTAGCTGCTGTTTGCCAAATGCCTCGAGATTTATTTTAAGTCTGGACCTTCCACATGCATTTATAGAAGCTCAAGGGCTGACAAGTGGGTCAGGCTAGATAACAAAGGGCTTTATTAACCCCATCTGCTTGGGCTCCTTGCACCAGCAAATCAGGGAACCATCCTGCATTCACTTTAATATTGCAGAGGGAAGTTTGTTTGTTGCTTTTGTTTCTTTTTTCACTAACTAGAAATCTTCTGAAGTGTTCCTGGGTAAAACTCAGGAATCCTAACCTTAGAGATGCGATGGGGATGCTGCCACTGTGACCTGGAGAGTCAGAAAGGGAGCTCCGGAGAACAGCCCCAGTGCACAGCCCCATCCACAGCAGCTGCTCTCTTCGCTGCAGAACAACCCCAACACATTTGCTTTCCTAGCCTGGATGTAGTTGTGAGCCTAAACAAAAACACAGCCTCTAACAACCCTGAAAACATGCCGAATCCCAGAAGCAAATTGATTTTCCATTTATGGAGTGGATAATTCAAGAGCTGTAATGCTGGCAGGTCAAACCCCCACTGCTGTCAGTGCGGGCCAAGTCAGTATTTGTAAACACAGCTCCTGCTCTTCTGTTTTATTTTTAAGAGGAGACGGGAGGGAGATTATCCAGCATTTCTTGGGAAAGCCTATAAAATGGAATATTGTTATTAAAACAGTTCTGGCCTCCAAAACAAGCACTCATTTCACCCGATTTATTTATTTCTTTGTTGTAACTCAGCTAAGGTTAAACTGATATTTACAACTCATGGAGGAAAAACCCAAACCCAAACCAGTGTTTACACAATCCCTTCAAATTCCTAATCATTCTGTCCTTTTTAGCATATGATGGGAAGGTGAGAAACCAGAGTTCCTAAGGCCCTTTTCCCTTGTGGATACCAACACTGGATACTCCATTTTAATTCTTACTACTTACAGTTTCCTCTGAATGTTCATGCTTCCTATAGATAGGAAGCATGATAGATAAATATACAAATATATACACACACACACACACGTGTATTATATATATGAATATATATGAGCTGACAGAAAGGCTCCAGGGACTATATATTTGATTTAGGGCCTGAGGAAAAGGACAACTGAAATGAATGTAAAACCTTTTTTTTTTTAGTTCAGTGTGATTTGGAGCTTTTTTTCTTCCTTCTTTCTTAAAAAACCTGGAAGATCCAGCCCAATCATCACTACTTTTATTCTTCACAGCATCTTGTACCACATCTCAGACTATCCCTGTGTCTGCCTCCCTTCCTCTGCTCACAGAAGATGCATAAATCTTTGCAAAATTGTTTCCATAGGATTCACCAAGGTGTTGGGAAGTGGAAGGTCAGGGACTGGTGTGGGAAACAATGTAGGGATGCCAGCCCCAGCTGATAGATACTACCTGTGCTGTTAAATTAAGCCATTAGAAGTAAGTAGCATGATACCATCCAGAGTCCTTATCACCATCCCTGGCATGACCTTAGCACATCTGTGAACAGGCTATTTTGGCCTCAGACCCAGAAACAATTTCTGGGGACTTAAGGCAGGGAGATTTAGTGCCCAGCCCTCTCCCAGCCCCAGTCCCCTGAGAGATAAGCAGAGCTTAATACTGCATGCCTGCAGCTGTGCCTGTGCCCAGAGATCCCAGCTCAGCCCATGCCAGCAGCAGGTTAAGCTACCTTAAGTGATTGGGTGCTTAAGGTCTTATTTCTGGTCTGGATTTTGCCTGCTACCTTCCCACTCCCCCCTCTTTCAACCAATGTCATTGTCCCCATGTAAGGCACCTTTGTGCACCCTGGGACAGTTTATTTATGCTGGTAATACCCAGTGATGTGCAGAGCAAAGGGTCATGTCCCAGGTAGACCAGAGAGGCAGGTTCAGAAGAAGAGACAAGCTCCTCCAAACTCTGTCCTGAGTGTAGATGTGGGTCCAGGGTGATTGCATGGTCCTAAGTGGGAGTCGAGCTTAGTCTTCTGTCTACATTTTCCATTGTAAAAGATACCAAGATCAATTGTGGTTGTTGTCATTGTCTTCTCACGTTTTAGAAAGAAGGAACAAAAAGAGCACTTTTTTTTTTATTTTTTTTTTCTCCTCCAAAATAGATTTTATTTGCATTGTGAACTCATAATCTGAAGAATGTCCCTGGTCCCGTGCCAATCTCATCATTAACAAAGATAAAAACACATCGGTTCAATGGACTAATATAAAACAATTCTTAATACCTTAAGGAAATATTTTTTTTACAAATCCACTTACTATTCTCACTGCACTTGTCAGGCTCTCTGACAAAAGCTCATCTGCACACAAAGCAAATCTGCACACATCTCCCACAAAGGAGCACAGGAAGAAAAGGGGAACCTAAATAATGCCCTGCTCCAGCTGCTCCCAGGCCCAAACCAGGAGCCACCAACTTCAGCAGCCCAAAGGAGCCCAGGGGCACAAGGGCAGGTGGGAACCTGAAACAAGAACTCAAAGAAGGCACACCCTGCCTGCATCCCTCCCAGGGCTGGTCCTGCACAGCCTCAGCCTCAGGCATGGAACTCACCCAGGTGAGTCAACTCTGCCTTTGGGACTGAGATATGTTGCTGCCTTGGGCATGGGAGAGCTTATGGGGTGCAGGGGAAAGGCATTTGGGCATTATACAAGATCTTGTGGTCAGCCACACAATATTAGCACAATAGTCAGTTTTTTTTGATTTCTTTTAATAGACGGGCCTTAGACAAAATGCATGAAGAAAATAGTAATGAAAAAACATTGAGAAAAAACTCACCATACTACTACTACTCATCCCCCACACTGTAAATGTCCCAGTACATTGGTATTTGACCCTTTTTTGATGCCTACTTTTCTAGCAAAGAAGTGCTTTGTACCAGCACCACGTTGAGGAGATCTTTGTTAGCTCATGTTAGATGCTGATGGTTCAGGATCCAGCTTTTCTAGTCTGTAACTCACATTAAAACCCTAGTCTGAAACACACTTTCTAGTTGAAGTTACCATCATTTTCCAGACACAGCATGGCAGGCAAAAGAGCACAAAGGCAACAGGGAACAGCAGCATCCTGGCACAGAGACATTGCCAGTGCTCCATGCAGGGCTTGAACAGCTCAAAGGTCCCAAAATCCTTTAGACTCAAAACTCACATATCCATCTGCCCTGTCAGAATCTGGGAACAGACAGTGTGACCTGCTGCAGCTTTCTCATGACTGATGGTGGCCATCACACAGCCCTTGGACATCCCACAGTATTTTACAGCTGGAAACTCTACACTTGAAGGAGTAAGTTCAAGATTTGCTGCAATTTTGACTTCAAGAGAATGTGCTGTGCTAGAAAGGCCTCAGCAGCAGAACTGCAAGTGCCCATTTTCAGAAGCACAGCTCAGATTCCTGCCCTGTAAAACTTACAGAAATTAAGTAGTTTCTCAGCTAAGCCACTGACAGCTATATTGTTATAAATTTGGCAACACCGACAGTATGTCCCTAAGCATCCTTTCTGCTATTTGAGGACTTTTTTTCCTGTCCACGCTTCTTGTGAGTAACTACTCGAGCAACCCTTGGTCCCAAAGCCCTGGCCTGGGAGAAGATGGGAAGTTAAATCTTGCCTTACTGTACCCACAAGGGCCCAGAGCAGCCATG